AACGCAGACACATGGCCCAGCAGCCCCTCCACCCCCACCTGCCGCCCCATCAGACCCTTCATCAGGTGAAGTTGAACTCTGAGCTCACTGGATTCGTTGACAACAGAGCAGAGATATGCCCCAAGTGCTTGATGACAAGGGCCATGGATCTCAGGAGAGATGAAAGACCAGGTTTAGGGCCAGCGTCTAGAGCCTGAGCCCCATGGGGGATGCAACAGGTACTCTCAGGGAGGGGTTGGTCTAAGCACCCCACTTTGCATGCCCTCCGTTGCCTTGGTCAGATGGTTGGGCGGACTTTGCACCACCTCCCTCAAGACTGCAATCCCTGGGAAGGAGCCTGGCTCCAGGTCATAGCATCTCCACCTCCACCAAGCCAGCTTTCCCACAATATATCATGGCTGAGAAGTAGAGAGTCAGCATCTCCAGTGGTGATGAGAGGCTTAGGAGGCTCAAGGATACAATGAAATGATATTGGATGGCTTGAGAAAGTTTATTTGTTCAATTCCTTGCAAGCCTCCAGGTGCTTCTATGTTGTTAGCGGTCTCTGACACGCACTCATCTCCTGCTGACCAAGAAGAAAGGCGGCTTGTGAGCCTCGCGCAGGCAGAAGAGCATCCACCTTGGATTTAATGCCAATTTCCCCAGTTATTGCCACACATGATGAATTAATACGGGCTTTCATGCCATATTTCTGGTACAAGGCTCCCTTTTAAAATTCATTTATTTTAAGTTAAATGAGTTGACTTAAAGAGAAATGTTATATAGGTAATTTTGAAGCATGGTCTGCAGAAATGGAAAAATCCACGAAGGTGTTGAGAAAGGCTGAGTGCCATTTTTGATCACCTCGTACTCAGATGAGGAAACTGAGGCTCCAAGAATGCACAGCTGGCAACTGCAGGACTGAGGCTCCATGTGGCCCTGAGGACACGGAGTGAAACCAGCAGATTACCCCGAGGCCAGAAGCTGAGAACCAGCCTGGAAGAGGTGCACTGAGGGAGCGCAATGAGCCCAGATGGAGAATACAGAGAGTGAACTTAGAGTAATCATTTCTTTTCATTTAAGTTCTTTATTTTTAAAAGATGGCTGTTTTCCCAAAGAGCCAAAGAAGTACCAGGAATAGATTTCTTTTGTGCAGAAACAGGCTACACAAGACAGGAACAAACTTCTCTGTCTTACCGTATCATTGTTTACAGAAACAAAGTGGTAGTTCTGAGTCTATAGAGGGCCCAGAGGACAATATTCTGCCTGCCGACCTCTGGCAAGAAATGCATCCAAGCACATCCCACAGAGGAGTACCAGGACAAGTAACCTCAGAAGCTGGCCCAACCCACCTGCCCACTACCACTGTCCAGAAAGAACCTCACGCAGACCTGCTTAGAGGATCCCTCTGCCAGGTTTGAACTTCCCTTGGGATCCACTGATACAACCTAGCAAAAGCACATAGAAACTGGGAAGGCCTTCATCACTGGGATTTCAACAATGGGGATCTGGCACAGTGGCTCATGGGCTCAATTAAAATGAGCCACAGCAAAATGGTAATACTGCTGAAGCAGGTCACTCAGGGCTCAACTTAAGACCTGGCCCCACCAGTCTGAACCAGCTTCTCTTCCCAACCCTCAGCTGCAGTAAGACTTGTGTCACACTGCACTCAACTGCCTATGTGTTGTCCCTACCATATAACAGAACTCCCACCTCAGGGCATGGACATAGGACTACAGCAGCATGCTCAGAGCACCAGGTCAGACTGATGGACTCTGACCAGAGGCCAAGGAGACTCATGCAGCAGGAGGTAAGAGGGCTGGGCAGGAACAGAAACAGGAGCAATAAAGATGGCATAGGGAGCAGTGCCTTTCAGGGAGCAGTCTGGATGAAAGCCAACAAGGCAGAGATATCAGGAGGAGACTGGGAAGTAGGGTGGGGGTTGGGGGGAGGTAGCAGGAAAGAGGATGTGGTCTTGACTGGCCCTTGGATGTGTCCTATAGCCCAATGGGTATTCAGCAGGTTGTAAAATGGAAATAAAAATGGAAATAAAAAAGTTCTGTGGTCAAATAAGTTTGTGAGATGCTTTGTTAGCAGTTAAACAGGTTTCTTCATTGCAGGCCTTCTCAGAGTTTTTTTTTTTTTTTTGTGGTACTGGAGTTTGAACCTAGACCCTTCACCATGAGCCACTCTACCAGCCCATTTTTTATTTATTTTTTGTGATAGGGTTTTTTTTGAGATAGGGTCTTGCCTGGGGCTGGCTTTGAACTGTGATCCTCCTGATCTCTGCCTCCTGAGTAGCTAGGATTATAGGCGTGAGCTACCTGAGCCTGGCTTCTCAGAGCTTTTAATGTGCTTACATGCTGGGTGAGTCTACCAGAAGAGATATGGCATGACGCACTTTCTACATGTTATTGATCATCTAGGCTCTCAACTGGTCAGTGTCCTAAGGCTCCTGTCTGGAAAACGGCCTGGAGCTGACACATAAGTTACATCTTGAGGAAAGGCCCAAGGCAAAGAAGGTGTGGCTGGGGACAATGGCTCTGGGGGGTTGGCTGGGGCATCACCCATAGCAGAGCCCCTCACTCCCCTGAGCCTGGGCCTCTGCAGCACTGAGAAGTCAAACAGGCTCCTGAGCAAGCTCCTAGGGGAAGGGCTGGGAGGGCAGTGCAAGATTTATTGTAGGAAAACAGTTGGCAAGGGTCACCTCCCCCAGGCCCCTGGGCTACAACAGATGGTGTGGTTTAAGTTTCAAAAATTGACGGGTACTTAAGAAAAAATGTTGGCAGACACAGGTACTTGTAAAACCATCTGAGCTGATGGGGAGTCTGGACCTAGTGCCTCTAGGAGACTGGGCAGTGTAAGCAGAGATAGGGAGGCTGCAGGGCCCTGAGCAGAGTCTGCTGGAAGAGGCTTCTGGACAAGGTGCAGGGGGAGGGGGATGAGAAAGTGGAGCAGCCCCCAGCACCAGCCTCAGGGCCTGCCCACACCCTGCACTTAGATGAGCTGCAAGAGCCTATTCCAGCCAGACGAAGGGAGCGCTCTGCCCTCTCCAGAAGCAGAAGGGTAGTGATAGGGGTGACAAAGCACCCAGGGGAGAGACCCAGGGTCCTAGAATCACCCAGACTTGGGTTAAAGTCCTAGCTCTGCTCCTGACTAGCTGTGTGTCCTGGGAAGTGACAGGTCCCGGGAGCCTCCTCTTCCTGGATTGTAAGATGAGGCATCAGCTTTAACAGTGGGGACTCTGAGTCGGTGCCTGACACAGCAATTCCTTGGGGCCTGTTAGTTGCCACTGCTTTGGGGGACACATGGGTGACAGCCTCAAAGGGGTCATGGATGGAGAGCTGGACCAGGCCCTCCTGAGCCATGGTGGGAAGGTGTCTCGGCAGAGACTGGTCAAGATTCCATTGGGTGGCAGCCTACACAAGTCACTAAGCTTGGTGAGGCCTGGAGCCTGTCTGTGAACTGGGGAGTTAATGGTACTGGCACACCCTGGAGGGCCTGGTACGCTCAGCTGTTATCCTGATCAGCCCACCTCCAGCACCTCCTCCCCTTAGGGGGTACGGGTGCCTCTTCTGAGCACCCATTTTTGCCCAGGGTGTTTGCTCTGTTTTACCTGGTGGCTAGGAGATCAGAAACTCACATCATATGTCATTGCTACAACTGTGGTTGAACAGAGACTCTGCTCAGGATGGGTCGTCCTTGAATATCTGTCCCCTGAGGACCCACAGACACCAAAGTCATTGTGGTTTGAAGCAAGGTAAGGCTGCTCAAGAACCTGCAGAGTGGGAAGACATGCCTGCCCAGGCCACTGTTCTACATTGGGAAGCATTTTGCAAACATTAGCTCTGTCAGTTCTGATTTTGGGTTTTTTGTTTGTTTGTTTTGTTTTGTTTTGGTGGCACTGGGGCTTGAACTCAGGGCCTCATGCTTGCTAGGCAGGCGCTTTACCATTTGAGTCACTCCACCAGCCCTAATCCTGTTGGTTTTGAAATGGGCGAAAGGACCTGGAGTGTCTGCAGTTGGCATAATGAGACGCATATAGTTAGGATGGAAGCAGAAGAAAAGAAAAAGGGGATGCTGAGAGAAAACGATAACCCTTGTGTGGGCATGGGGTGGCCATTTAGTAGGCTGTTCAGATTAGCAGGATATGACATGGGTCATTTGTCTGGGTGTGAGGCTGGGCTCACCCTGGGAGGGAGACAGTGATGCCAACTGCAGGCACTGGCACAACACACCTACTCCAGAACAGGGGCCAAATGTCAGGGGAGACTGATGGCCAGAACCTTGTTCTGCAGGTGTGATGGCTCAGTTCACTGGCAGGCTGGGACAGCCTCCATGAGGTACACCCTCTGGGAACTTGGTGGCCACAATACTTAGGCTACTTAACAGGATAAAGCTACCACTGGCTCTGAGGGTGTGGGATGCACACAAAGCTATTGACATGCGGGTCTCACCTCCAGCTTTCATGGCCTCTGTGGAGGTAGGGTTTGGCAGGGAGACCACGTTTAAGAAAGGGAGACTGAGGCTCAGTGAGTGAAGGCAGTCACTGGGCTGAGACCAGAACACTAAATGGGCCAAGAACACATTTCTCTGTTATGTCGGATCAAGAAGTAACAGTCCAGAGAACTCAGATTGCTAGGACTCTGGGAACAGCTTCATTCACTCCAGTTCCTTTAACCACTGGGTGGATGGCTAGGTGGGGTTGGGGTGGCCTCTGGTCCTTCAGCATTCTCTAGAACATTCTTCAGAATTCTCCACCTTCTCTCATGTGCTAGGTTGAATGCCCAGTGCCGGGTGGCATGCTCTACTTTCCCTTCTGACTACTCCCTGCCTACCCCTCCTTACTAGCTGGTCAGCACTGGCCTTGCTGAGCCCTTTCTTCTGGGCACTTGTGACCCAACCACTGGCAGTCATCAGTTCTGCCCTCAGGCTTCCCTCCTGGCCCCGCAAAGGTCTGGGCCCACAGTTCTGAATAAGGCTCCTATTCCTTCTGCTGCCAACTTTGGGAGGCCTCTTACCTTTGGGGTGAGGTACTGAGTCATAATTTCCTTCCCTTTCTCTCCCAGTTTTTCATCTGGAGTAACTTCGTATTCTGCCTATAGGGAGAAAAAGAACAATAACAGATTTTCTCATGAACTTCATGCAGTTACAGAGCTGTAGAGGCCCCTGGGGAAGACCAGGAGGCCACCTGAGCAATTCCCCATTCTAGAAGGCAGGAAAATGAGGCACAGAAGGGGGAAGACCTGGCCAAGGAACTGGACACCTAGTCCAAACTGCTCCAACTCTTTTGTGGACACGGGTTCTTAGAACAGTGCTCCATATGGGCTGACTGATGAGCAAACAATGATGCTCAGAGCAATGGAACTGGACCTTCTGGAGGGCCAGGAGGGCTGCATTTGGCAGCCAAGGTTGAGAATCACTAACTCAGATGAATCAAAGGAAGTCACTAGAAAATCACCAAACTGGAAGACCATAGAAAGTCTGCCTTGGGCCACTCAAACCTTGCAAGCTCTATGACCTGAGACAATTTTTATGACTTCTCTATAAAATGCAGAGGGGCCTAGCATCTACATCTATGCGTAGGGTGGCTGTGCAGATAAAAGTGACAGTGCTCTCAGCCCAGGGCCTGGCATATAATAAGTAGCCTTTAAATGGTTACTGTAATAGTCACCATTATGATTATTACACATTGTGAGGAAAAACTGCTATGGTCTGAATCTGAAATATCCCCTAAAAGCTCACAGGTTGAGGGCTTGGTTTCCATCTGGTGGGCTTTGGGGAAATGACTGAATCCTGAGGGCTCTGACCTAACCAGTGGGTTGGTTCCTTGATGGGTTTTTCATTTGATGTCATTGTCTGGAGATGGTGAAAAACGAAAAGGTAGGGCCTAGAGGGAGGAAGTTGGTCACTGGGGGCATGCCCTGGAAAGCTGTACCTTGTCCTTAGCCCTTTCCTTTCTGTTTCCCAGTTGCCATGACATAAGCAGTCTCCTCTTCTACACACTTCCACTGCCACGATGTTCAGCCTCATCTCAGGCCTTTAACAATGGAGACAGCTGAGCATGGACTGAAACTGTGACCAAAACACACCTTTCCTCCTTTTGAGTTTTCTCAGAGATTTGTCACAGGGATAAAATGCTGGCTAACACAATTATGATGGATGCCTTACGTTCTCCAGTCTCTCAGCTTACAAACAGAACACAGATTTTCTACATGTTCTTATCAGAACCTCAAAAGAGCCAAGGTAAAAGGGGTAGGGCTGCCATTCTATCTGTTTCCACAGTAGAGAGCCACTTGCCCAGGGTCATGCAACAGCAGGTGGCAAGTCTGGGGTTCAGAACTCTAAGCCCAGAGCTCTTTCTCAACAATACCAAAGTGAGGACTCCAAATCACTGGCTGAGCCAGGGAAACCTGAGCTCTAAAGAAGTGACCTCAGGTCAGGCATGATGGCCCACACCTGTAATCCCAGCTACTTACAAGGCAGAGATCAGAAAGACAGTGGTTTGAGGCCAGCTCAGGGAAAAAGTTGGCAAGACCCTATCACAACCAACAAGCCTAGCATGGTGGCATGTGCCTGTGGGGAACCACAGGTAGAGGATCACTGTCTGAGGCTAGCCCTGGGAAAAAATTTGAGACCCTATCTGAAAATATCTAGAGCAAAAAGGGACTGGGGGTGTGGCTCAAGTGGTAGAGTGCTTGCCTAGCGAGTGTTAGGTCCTGAGTTCAAAGCCCAGTATTGTCCTCCCCTGCATCAAAAAAAGTGAGGCCTAGGAACTTTTAAATTTTCCTTGACCCAAGAGGGTCACTCATCTGATGCACCTGCCAAATGGATGAAAGGCCTTGAGTTAGCACATATAAAAAAAAAATAAAAAATAAAGAAGAACCTATATTTTTAAATGAAAAAAAAAAAAAGGCCTTGAGTTAACAAGAAGCCCAAGTGAGCTTGCCTTTCTCAATTAGAGAAAGTGACTAATTGAGAATTTTGTATAAACATTTAAAAATCCACTACCCAAGGATTTGTCAGCCTCAGCCCCAAAGCACAGTGATTTCAACAGAGATACAGGGAGTGACCACTGCAGATGGACCTAAACTTCTACATCAGACATTCTCTGTGCAGCTAGACATCAGGCCCTCCTCGTCAAGTCCAAGGCCAGTACCTCACAGGTCAGGATCTAGGGGCCAATGACACCAGGCCAGTCAGGAGACCCTGCTAGACCCAGGGAAAGGTCAGGCAGCCCCTGAGGGTCCATACAGGAAGTCAGGCACATTTCTATCCAAAAAGCAGGTGAGTTTCCTTGTCATGCCATCTCTCTTCTAATAAGAGAGCTAAGAGCCACAATTTTCTCTAGGGGAGAAACATGAACACTATAACCATTTGGATTCCAAGCTGTAGGGTGGTGGTTTTGGAAGGAATCCAATCCCTCATTTTATACAGCTGGACACTGAACCTCAGAGAAGTGAAGGATTCATATAAGAATGTCAGCAGAGGGAGGACTGGCCCACTGGCCCCTGATTCCCACTGTGCTGCTTGGCCAGAGTGTCTCTCTCCAGGGGCTAATTCCTCTCTACCACCAAGATGAGCCTTGAGAGGCTGAGGTATTCTTGATGATTTGATTTGATTTTTTGGGGGGGAGGGTGTGGAGCTGAGGTTTGAACTCAGAGCTTCATGCTTACAAAGCAGGTACTCCACTGCTTGAGCCATACCTCCAGTCCATTTTGCTCTGTTTTTTTTTTGAAATGGGGGTCTCATGAACTATGTACCTGGGCTGGCCTGGAACCACAATCCTCCCGATCTCAGCCTCCCAAGTTACTAGGATTATAGGCATAAGTCACCAGCACCAGGCTGACTTCCTGAGATTCCTTAAGGAGAGAAGGTAGCTCTTTCTTCTTGACTTTTCTGTTACTTTCTTCCTCTATGTCCCACAACAATAACCTAAAACTCACATGCACACTCATACATGTGTGTGCACAACAGACACCATATGGAGCACTGATGATAAGCTTGCCGACATGTCAGGTATGTTGTTCCCAATTTACAGATGATAACACTGACACTCTGAAGGGACAAATAAAGAGTTCAAATACAACAGAGCTCATAAGCAACAGAACTTCATTTCTAGCACCAACTGACTCCCCTTTCCACGGGGAGCAGAGAAGTCTCCAGTGTCTTATTCCTTGTGCCCCTGGAAGCCCCACCTTGTGGTCTGGCACAGGGGATGCAGCCAAACTGCTCTGTGGGGCCCAAACCCTGGGTAAATGGCCAACCACCATTTGGGGTAATTCAATATCATCCAGAACACTGAATTTGTCTCAAAATACATCTGTGAAGGTGGTTCTATTTAACCAAACAGAGGCCTGGGGCTCACTGATCAGCCTCAATAACCTGCTGAAAATATTATTGCTCTGGGTTCTAAAAGCCATGTTAAGAAAAAAAAAATAACATTATTTTCAGGTCAGCTGCCTCCCAGCAGAGGCCAGATGGGTGCACAGCAACACGAGGAGGCAGCTGGGAGCACATGGGGACAGGCCTTCCCAACCTGGGATCAAAGGGCCTTTCTTTGAAGAGACCACGTCAGGCCACGGCCTCTTGAGGAACATTAGTGTTGGGAGGCAGAAAACCACCAGGAAGCTACAATGATTAAGTCACCTGGAGTGGCAGAGCTTGTGGAGGACGAGTTTGAATGGCCACCTACAGAGAGAAGGCCCTATGGTAGATGAGTTCAAGGCAGAGCACACGACCCAAAGCTGGGACCACCCTGGAAACCACTGCTGTGTGAACAGCCTTGCCCAGTAGTGGGAGGAAGCCTAAACCAGCAAAAGTAAGCAGCAAATAAGAGTTTTGTAATAGCCAGAATTTTATAATCAGATTTGGCTTAAGAAATGGCAGCCTGACAATGACTTCAAAGAAAAGAGAAGCAGCTGGGAATGGAGGTGCTTGCTTGTTATCCCAGCACAGGGGAGGCTGAAGCAGGAGGATCTCGAGTTTGAGGCCAGTCTGGGCAACACAACAAGTTCAAGGCTAGCCTGGACTACATAGCGAGACCCTGTCTCAAAATTAAGAGAGACAGACACTTAATGCAAGGAATGTCCCCTGAATTCTATCAGTAAGGGCGGTGATGGGCCCGTCCCCTCCCCAAACTAAAGGGACACCCACAGTCCTCTTGTACTTCTGCCCACTTGACCCCTTCTCTGTCCAGAACTCAAGGCCCTTGTACTGATCCTCCAGATTCATTCCTTGTGCCAACCAGAGGGGGCTCCTGATGGGCTTATTTGTGCTGTGGTTTATGATAAACCCAAGGATGGCCTTGAGGAGCAGGTACTGCCCTAACACGAGGAGCAAATGCTCCACTGAGCTCAGGGAACAAAGGATCAGTCATCTATCTGTGCTGCCAAAGACCATGAATGCCTCTAGACACCCCAGCTTACTAACTTGGCGTGTCATGCTCTGGACCAGCTCTGACTGCATCATCAGTCTCAGAAAATGCCAGGAGAAGCAGGTCCTGGCAGTGAAGACGCCTCCCCCTCGGGGGCTTAGGTCCTGGCAGTGAAGACGCCTCCCCCTCGGGGGCTTTAGGACCTGCTACGTGCTCAAAGCAGCCATGCTGATTGAAGAGCACACTCAGCACTAGATTCTGCTTGGCCCTGGCTGACTTGGTGTCACCTTCTCCCCAGAGACCCCCTCATGCCCTGGCAGGAAGATGAAGTCAGAAATGCCATGAGGTCTTGCCGTCTCTGACTTCTGTCACAATCAATGTGGTCGGCTTTTCCAGAGTCTGTGAGACAGGGGCCAGTAGTGTGCCTGGTTGACAATGTGGTTCCCATGGCCCTTTCTGGAGAAACACCAGGTTCACTCACACTGGCCTGGCGTCTTGCCTGTGCTTATACAAGCACTGCCCTCCGAGTCCCTCCTGGCCCTGCCCACTCAGCAGTGGGTGCTAAGGGCATGAGGGCTGGGTCAATTTCCCCAACTTCTCCCTGCCTGGCACCTTGACCCCACTTCTGAAGACCCAGATCCTGCAGGCTGGCCTCCTTTTGCATCACTCTCTTCTGCCCTGGCAGGTGATGACACCACATCAGCCGCCGCTGATCTCCTCACC